TTTCTGAGATCACAACTGTTTTCAGGAGTCGGAAGGCTGAGCTCTCTCCCACAGAACGGCTGGTGGTTTTCAGCTGCTGCCCTTGCGTGTCACCCCTGATTGTGTAACCATCACACCAGTTCAAATCTGTCATCATTCAGAAGGGACTCGATGGCATTGAGTTTTGGGTTGTTTTTAAAGGAGACTTCAGAAAATAGAACCACATTATTAGTTCAATGCTATTTACTGCCATGGACACTAAGACATGATACAAGAGCGGTAGCTTTAGAAAATCAGTAGCGACCTTACCATTGCCCTTGTGTCTTCAAAACATGCCCTGATTTCTGGTTAGTGTTTTCAACACAAGTGTCGGGGATGCTTTCCAATTTTCTCCTCTTTGCCATTAGAGCCTCTGTAATGTCAGTTACATTGAAGATAAAGTTCATTCATGGTTCATTTAAAATTACTTAGTTTTCATATGTCCAAATCAATCTATGTAATTTGGGATCAGGAAGCCCAAAAACACATTTATGATTATTAAATAGATATCACAAAAATGTAATTTATACCCTTTTACTTTCCCTGTGACAACTTTTAGTAACTAGTTTCACAATTCTCAGTTTTCTAATGAGACACATTTAAAAATAGGAATGATAAAAAAAGCAAGGATGGCGGAAAAAATCAATTATCCAAACTTCACGTTCAATGGGTCACAAGGACAGAATAGATTCTTACTAAAAAGGTGGCATAAAGGAGTTATTTTTCCCATTTCATAAAACATCCTCCAACTCACCATACGCAAGTACATGAAATATTGTCAGAAATCATTATAAAAAACACAAAAATCCATTCAGTAAAATAGTTCCCGAAGCTGGATTTAAAAATAATAATACAAAGAGCAAAGCTACATTGGAAAAGAATCTATTAAGGGATCCTTTGAACTATATTTTGCTGAAAGAGAGAAAGAGCACAGAAGGAATTGTACCTGAAGTCAATTCCATTGTTCCAAGGATGCTTTAAGGGCAGCTCTGTGGAGCTGCTTACTTGGAACCTTTACCACTTACAGGACTCGCTTTTCCCAGAGTGTGATGCTCCCAGCAATGCCTTGCTAAGCCTGTGACTCTGCAGCTGTGGGTACTTAGTTTTAGTAGCCGGGAGGGGCCTACCTTTCCAGCATCCACCTATGCAACCCACTGGGTCACTTTCCTAGTGTGCCAGCCATGTGACATTGGCTTTTAAGAGAGAGTGCATGAAACAATTAAGTTTAAATGCCTACATCTAAAACTTACCTCCAAAATGTTCCAGCATATTCTGAGCTTCCTCCCTATGAAGAAATGACAAGGCTCATTCTAATGCAGGGAAGGAATATCTGAGGCCAAGTGGGATAGGAACAGGAATTGCTACAAGGACCAGAGCAGCCTCCTAGAAAGTACTGGGCCCGAGGGAAGGCATTACTTGGGGGGCACATTACCCCACATCTCTGGCATCAGCCCCTGCCAATGGCCGTTTTCTCTCACGATGATCAGTCACTGGAGAGTTTCCTTCACAGAGAAGAGAGAAAACCATGCATTTATCTGTTTTGATAGACATGCCTGTTGCAGGACTGTGCACTTCAGAGCTGTCCCTCCACTGCCTTTCACAGCATTCTTCCCAGTGTATTGCCCCTGTCCCGCCCTCTCAGATCATACTGTGTCCCCTTTCGCCCAGGTGAACTCTTTTTCCTGGAGTGCAATCCTCAGCTTAGGGGCCCTGCTGGCTTCTAGCCCTGGTTAAGAGGAGGGCTGCTACCACACAGGGCCAGCAATTCAAAACCAGCAGCCTCTCTGCAGGAAACACATGGGGCTTTCCACTCCCTTGAAGGGTTACAGTGTTGGAAACTCCCAGGGGGCGGTCTACCCTGTTCTACCCATGTGTCCCATTCACTGGAGGACAGTGCCTGAGATCCTTGGCCCGAAGGGCTTTGGGAACTTTTGCCTGCACAAGACTGTAGTGCAGGAGAAACAGCAAAGTGAGTCTATGTCCCCAGATGCTCGAGTCACTGTACCTTCCATCCCATCGTCCTCAGAACCAATGGGCCCTTGGTGAGGTTGGTCACAGGTTCCTGAGACATAGGTCTCCACTAGATGACTCCCTGGTTTCTCCATGGTCTCTCTGCAAGGGGAGGCCGGGATTCCACTTTGTTTGGAACAGAAAACACGGACGGCTTAACAACTGGTCTCTCACCGTCGGGAGGGAGGAAGAGTAAAAAGATATAAAGGCAGAAGAAACCACCTGGTGACCAATGGACCACGCAAGGATGACCCTACACCCCACGAGACCAGAAGCCGTTGATGCCACGCCCCTGCCCCCGAGTGCCCCCGCCCCCTGGCCCCCACTCTGCCCCCGCCGCCCCACAAGTCCCAGGCCGCCCGCCCTCCTGTCGAGACGCGGCTCCCTGCCGGAAAGACGCCCCTCAAGCTCACTGCTGGACCCCAGCTCCTGGACAACCTCCACCGCACACACCGGACGGCCACCCAGGGGACACCGCGCTCCCAATCTCCTCACCTGAGGGACACACCCGCCCGGTGCTCACCAGATCCCAGCCTCTCACCTGAGGGACGACGGGAACTCACTTGACGTACTTCAACATCCGGGATCCTCAGACCTGTGACCTCGACGCTCAGCCACGCCCACGCGGTGACGCACAGGACCAGCGCAGTCTGCGCTCTGTGACGCAGAGCTCCTGCGACGCCCACGTTGTGACCCACTGGATCGTCGACGCCTATGCTGTGCAATGCTCCTTCCGAGGTCTGAACCCTCAAATATGTCTG